AGTGGAGAGGCTCCGAGCACCCGGATCGGCTGGGGGTGCCCCTTGGCCACCTCTCAGGCCTCCCCAGCCCCTTGTGGGCAATCACCTCTCTTCTCGGTGGTCACCACCAAGGCCTCGGCAGCCTCTCCCCAGCCCTTGCGGGTCTGGGCTGTGATGCGGAACAGGTAGACAGACTCTGGCTTGAGGCTGGTGGCTGTGTACTGGCGGGCGCTGGGTGCCAGCACCTCCACGGTGGCAGTGTTAGCTGCGGTGGTGTTGAGCCGGTGTGTGATCTGGTAAGCTGTGGGGAAGGAAGGACATGGAGCACACTGGGAAGCAGGGCAAGCTGTCCCCAGAGCCCCAAGGAAGGGTCATCCTTTCCTCGGTCACAGCAGCGTGTGCACTTAGGCCACCTGGGCTGTGGTTTGTCTGCTTGGAGCCATCTTGGTTAATCTCCAGTCTTTAGCTGGCACTTGGGGAGTGTGGATGGTGGGGGGCATGGATAGGCACTCTTTGCACAGTGTCTGTGAGCCCCATAACAGCCCCAAGTGAGGAAACTGAGGCTCGGAGAGGCCAGACCACCTGCGAGGAAGCAACTGAGCTTCAACACCAGCCTGGGTCATTCCAGTCGAAAGTGCTCACCCCTCCACCCCAGACTCTTGTTTTTGGAGGTGTGGCGTTATCTAGGGCAGGCATTGCATGAGGTCGGGACTGGGAACCACCATTTATTTCAAAGGTGAGGGGCTGAGGCCACAGGGAAAGCAGACGTGCTCAAGTTTATGTAGCTGCTGACTTCAACCCTGGGTATACATGTTGGGGGGACCTGGAATGTGAGATGCAGCTTCTGATCTGCAGCCTCCCTCCCCTATGCCCCAGGCCCTGTCCGCCAGCAGTGAGCTGTGCTAAGCCAGCCAGCATGCCCTTGCCTGGCCACACACAGGAACAGCAGCTGAGGTTTATCAGATGACCAGTGCACTGGGGACAGGAGGCATCTGAAGTCACAGAGCTAGCCAATGGTTTTTAAGGGACCTGAACCCTGACCTTGCCCTCCAGCTGATAATCTTACAGACTGATCCTTCTAGCAGGAGAAATAGAGTCAGATCCTGTTGCTGAGGAGATGTAGACGCTTCCTGGGCCTTCTCTCCCACTTGCTGACAATGAATTTGTCTCTTTGACGTCTTATACTTCCTTCCTCTTCCTGCAGCCAGGGCACGGGAAAGGATGAAGGCTTACCAAGAATGATGCCATTGGGGGCAGCAGGGGGCTGCCAGATCAACCGCACTGATGTGGTCCTCACCTCCGGGAACAGGATGCCCATGGGTGGTCCCGGGACTGGAGGGGACGAAGGAGAAGGGGTTGAGGCTGTGGCCGAGCCCCAGGCTGAGTCCAGCTCCAGCAGAGCAGCCCGGTGGGACAGATGTGGGAAGGGGCCACTCAGCTCTATAAATGTTTGTGGAGTGCTGCTCTGTGCCTGGCACAGTGTGAGGAACCAGGGACATGAAAATGAAATCAGTGAGGTTTCTACCCTCAAAACAGGTGTTATTTGGCAGGGACCCAGGCTCCAGCCTCCTTTGGCTCAGTGTCTATGTACACGCCCCAGGACTGGGCTGCTCTCCAAAACCAGGCAAGTGGGTCTGGACCTTGGTCTGTGCTTTAGAAGGTTCTGCTCTGACTTTCTTCCACCCATGGGGTAGGGTGGCTGTGGGGCAAAGGAAAGACTTGAGCCTGCACCACCCCTCTCTCTAGGCCTCGTTCTGGAGCCCTGGGATCCTGCAACTCCCTGCCAGGCAGCCCCAAACATACTTCCAGTGTCTGCATGGGTCTGTTCCCGAGATTCACCCTCCTGAGGGTAGACTGTGCACCCCCGAGCTCAGAGATGGCCAAGGGATAACTGTGTGGGGGATGTGGCTGGAGAATGTGTGCTGTGGGCCAAAGGAGAGGAAGAGAAGGGGACCGGGCAGGGGATGGGGGTGAGTGGCTGTGAGTGCAGCACAGAATGCCAAGAGGTCTGAGCTTTGTGAACTTGAACTTGGCCTTCCTGGTCATTGTAAGGGTATATTTGTCAAGGCAGGAGAATAGAACATATTTAATTTAACAGTTCATTAGCTTGATTTATAACTTC